ATGGCTGCGTAGGCTGGGAAGAGAAAGAGAAAAAAAGAGATCATCGATTCAAATGAACCCTCCGCTCAGGAAATGGACCTGAGTCAGCATCCCCTCCTACCTTAGAAAACAACAGCAGCCTCGAACTTACTGGAAGGTCCGTGTTGGTCAACAGATAAATACACACACCCCCTCGCCCTCCAGAGTAAGGAGCTCTCAAGGGCCTGAGTGCCATGCCCCCTCCCCCCCCCGCCCCTCTAGAGCCAGTGTGGTGTCGTGGTTAAGTGCGTGGACACTAATCTGGGAGAACCGGGTTGGATTCCCCACTCCTCCACTTGCACCTGCTGGATGGCCTTGGGCAAGCCGTAGTTCTCTCAGAGCTGTTCTTGAAAGAGCAGTTCTCGAGAGAGCTCTCTCAGCCCCACCTGCCTCACAAGGGTGTCTGTTGTGGGGAGGGGGAGGGAAAAGGAGATTGTGAGCCGCTCTGAGACTCCCGAGTGAAGGGCAAGGGGAATACACCCAGTCTCCTCCTCCTCTTCTAGTTCCCTTCCACTGATTCTCATCTGTTCCCGATGTTCTGTGCCCCCTGGAACACACCCAGGCCACTTTGGGTTCTTGTCATTTCTGTGGGTTGATAGATGCCCGGATCCCTGCCGTAGAGGAGGGGGTCCCGTATGGAGAGGCAAAGCCACACACAGCAGGCCCAGCCACGCCTATGTTTTGGGAGAACCCTTGGGCATGCAGAAATATCTGACTTAGAAGCGCCTATTAGGGGGTGCAACTCACATAGCCCAACTCTTCCCTTTCTGGGTAAGAGACCCAAGAGAGAGAGAAGGGAGTGGCTCCAGGTTCCCCCAAGAGGACTCATCTGCCCTAGACCCCTTTCAGCCAGGGTTCTGGCCTGGCTTGGCTGTGGGACCCGGAGAGCACTTGGGGGCTTTGGTGGGTAACCTCCATTCAAACGTGGACAAGGCTCGTTGCTACTGGATCCCACCGTAGTCGTTGCCAAGGTGGGCCATCCCGTCCTGCTGTTAAGTGCCGGGAGTTAATTTAAAAATTTACTGCCTTTTTACCTTATAAGAACTTAAGGTGTAATAACAAATCACAACAAAATATATAAAAACCACTAGATAAAACCAATACTTTTAAACTGCCGGTCGGGAGAAGAGCTAACTGAATGCTGCCATAAATAAAACTGTCTTCAGCTGCCGCCTGAAGATCGAGATCGAGGGGACCAGGCACGAGGCACCCCCTCGCTGGGGCAGCTGTTCCGTAGCCACGGGGCTGCCACTGAAAAGGCCCTCTCCCCTGTAACTGTCAGACGAGCTCCTCTGGCTGATGGGACAGTCGAGAGGGCCTCTCTCCCTGGGCAGGAATGTCTGGGAGAGGATGGTCCTTTAGCGACCCGGGTCCCAAGCCACGTCGGGCTTTAAAGGACAGAACCAGCACCTAGAATGGGGCTTGGGAGTGGCTCAGTCGCCAGTGTTATTGCCGTAAGACTGGAGTCATATGATCCTGGTAACTGGCCCCGACCAGCAGCCTAGCCACAGTATTCTGCACTAGTTGCAGCCTCCGAACATGCTTTAAGCACAGCTCCGAGTAGGACGCATTGCAATAGTCCAGTCTAGATGTAACCAAAGCATGTATCAGTGTGGCTAGATCAGACTGAGCCAGGAATGGACGCAGCTGATGCGCCAGCCAGAGCTGGGTGAAGGCACGCTGAACCACGGCAGCCCCGGTTTCCTCAGGTGAACACTGTGTTGAACACAGCACGCCCAAACGGTGAACCTGACTTTTCAAGGTGGGTGTCACATGACAGGCTCTGAATCTTCACAGTGAAAGGTGTTAAAAGGTAAAGGTTTCCCTTGCTTGAAAGCTAGTCGAATCCGTCTCTAGGGGGCAGTGCTCATCTCTGTTTCCAAGCCGAAGAGCCAGCACTGTCTGAAGAGGTTTCTGTGGTCATATGGCTGGCATGACTAGACGCTGAGACACACGGAATGCTGTTACCTTCCCACCACAGTGGTACCTCCTTCTTTTTTCAAAACCATGACAGCTGGGAAACCTGACAGATTGCCAGCATTCTAACACTGTAATGCTAAGCCAATTGCTGACTTTGAAAAAGCCCTCCAGTGGCAGGGGGTGTGGTGGAGAAATGGCTGTTGTGTGTGTGGGCCACGGATGAGGCAGGGAAAATGATGAGGGTAGAAACAAGGAGATCTGGACTTTCTTGTCTACATGGAGACATTTTGGCTTTTATCGTGGACTCTGGGGGGCATATGCAATAGTGAATTTTATTTAAAATAAAATTAAACAAACAACTGTAAAGGACAAAAGTTAATTTTTTAAATATAAAGTTGTAATGAAAGGTGTGAGGCAGGTCAGCTTAGGTAGTATGAAGTTTGGTAAAGACTGTGGGAAAGGCAGGAAAACCCTGGAAGATGCACAGAAACATTTCCGTGGTCATGTGACTAAAGGCGCAGCACAGCAAATGCCGCGGGGAAGACAGGTGGGCGGGTGGGAAATCCCTGCTCCCCAAGAGGATCCAGCTCTGGGCAAACAACCCACCAGAGCCGGAGGCCGGAGGCCCTGCCTGGTTCTCCCCAAAGGGGGGAGAGTTGCTGGGTGAGCTAATTTGACTGCGGAAATGGATCCTGCTGAGAGACTGATGAATCTCCCCCTTCCAGCCATCCTCAGGCCTCCGTTTCTCCCCCCAGCAACCACGTGAGGCAGGCGAGGCCGAGAGTGAGCTTGGTGGCAGGAGCCCAGCAGCACCCACGGGGGCCTTGCAGGCGCACTGCTGTGGGGAGGACCAGTGGTGGCAAGGCAGGGCAGGGCAGGGGTGCTCCGGTGATTTCAGGGAAGAAGAAGAGATTGGATTTATGCCCCATGGCCCTTCACTACCCAAAGGTATCTCACAGCGGCTGACAAACTCCTCCCCCTCCCCACCACAGACACACCCTGTGAGGGAGGCGGGGCTGAGAGAGCTCTTGAGAGAAACTGCTCTTTTTCAAGGACAGCTCTCGTCAGAACTGTGGCTTGCCCAAGGTCATCCAGCCAGGTGCAGGTGGAGGAGTGGGGAATCAAACCCGGCTGTCCCAGATTAGAGTCCGCGCAATTAACCACTGCACCAGACTGGCTCAAAGGTGTCTCAGAGCGGCTGACAAACTCCTTTCCCTCCCCCTCCCCCTCCCCACCACAGACACCCCCTGTGAGGTAGGCGGGGCCGAGAGAGCTCTTGACAGAAACGGCTCTTTTTCAAGGACAGCTCTGAGAGAACTTGTGACTGACCCAAGGTCACCCCAGCAGGTGGGGAGTGGCAGAGGCGTGGGGGAATCAAACCACCAGACGAGCGGCCGGCCGCCTCTCCTCCCGGCGGCAGCATCCCTTTGTTTGTTC